CTATCAACACCTAAATTACCCCAAGCTGCTTAGGGTAACTAAGGTTTTATTTAAAATCCAGATAGTACACTGCCTATACAATTAAAATTCTTTACTTATTATTTTTCTACTCCACGGATTCAGAGTCAATGGCCTTATTGATTCACAGGAAAATAATGCAAACTCCTTGCCTTGAACATATTTAGCTGTGATCAAAAGTGAGACCACCACATCAAGCCCTTTTAGCTGGCTTTGGATTTCCGCGAATTTACCACTTAGAGACGTAATTTTGTGCAACGTGGTTAACTCATGTATTGTGTTTCTATATGTAAGTGACTGTGATATCAGGTTATGCATTTCGAAAGGGCTATCTTGATATTCGGATTTGAATACTGGACTCTGGGCGTCATGATCAAATTCGACTCCAATATCGGCCATTACTTGGCAATATAGAAGTATTGGGACTAGCTACAACTTATCTGTAGAAGGCCTTGAATCAGGGAATTTTTTTACATGATTGGAATTTTTTTGACCAAAATAACTTTATCTTTAATTCATCTTTATCACTTCAGACAATATATATTACCATCAATCTCGTGCCTGCTCTCACCTCTGTAACGGCTCTAGATTGATCTGAATCTGAATCTGGGAAATGCTTTATTTACATCTTATTTACTCAACTTTTCATTTTTGAATAAAATTTCGTTTTAATTGATCAGCGAATTGGCCGCACCGTAGGCCGAAGGATGACTGCTTTAGAATGAATGCTCTAGGATTGTGTGGAGATTCACAGCTCACTCTTATGCAAGATAGCAGAATCCATGTCAACTTTCTTTTGTCATATGACAGCATCAGAGTGTGAAGCCACCATTTGCTTTAATTGTAGAATATGAAAATACTAACTTAGCTCGGAAGCTTCGGGATATGCGAAAATCTGGATCACGCACTTAACTGTAGTTGAATTCATCTTAAAACCATTACTTATTTAAGATATTTTGTTTGATCCTACTCAGATACTCTTGCTTTCTTGGTGCTTCTTCGGTCTGCATGGTCGGCCTTTTGGCATCAGGCGACGATTCGTCTTCCCCTTGGCTTGTTTCACTCTTCTCTCATTCGCTGGTTTAATACACCAGTCTCCCTGCTTCCGGCAACAACAATATCTACACCCTCTGTGGCTAAATCAACCCTTGATAGCCGTCTGTACATGGTCCAGCCGCCTCGAGCTAATTCTGTCAATTTGCCTTCTTCCTATCCATTTGCTATTTCTGGCTGATCAGGCTCGCATACAGCCTAGTCGCCTATTATGCTGTCTATTTCACAACCTCACCACTACAGGGAAAAAATTTCGAAGATTTCTTACCTGGTTTTCTTGCATCTTCGGCCATACAGTCATCGTTCGCCGCTTGATCGACTCAGATACCCATATGCTGTTGTCTCCTCGTACTTATCCGAAGGCTACTACTGATGCCGGTACTAAGGTTGGCACTATACCATTGCCTCCTCGCATTGATGTATTTGTCGACCTTGTCTGCTTGGCCACTGCACAGATCGCCAATATCGTACTTCATCTCACCTTTCTATTTATGTTGATACCTCCCTTCTTCCTCTGGCTAGCTAGTTCCTTCGCATCAGCTGTTTATGCTGCTTACAGCTTTGCCGTTTGTGCCTATCTGCTCACCTCAGTTGAGATCCGCCTCAGATAAATGAACACTTATTTCACACAAATTTACTACTTTTTGTTGCGTTTACTTTTTTAATTTCACTTTATAAGCTTCGTTTTATCTTTTATAATACTGAATTTGATGTCTGTTTTTCATTTTCCATTTTTCTTTTCTTTTCGTTATTATTTTATCGTTTTATTTTTAAAAGCACTTTATCATTGACTATATTTTCTGTGAGAATGCTTGTTATCAAAGGTTTGTGTTATGATCTCTGATTCGATATTTTATCTTCCCTCATAAGAAGAAGGTTTCGCCAAGTAATGGATTTTAAATTCGTCTTGCCTCCAAAATAGATTTCCTCACCATAGCATCATCAAGCTTAAAGGCTTTGGAAGTGTCATCTGCCCTCTGGTTTGCTGAGACAGGTTATGTGGCTGAATGATAGCATTTTTTTCTTGGTTTACATTACCAGATTTCTAACTCCATTTAGCATACTCGTGTTACCAAGATGAGGTCGAAACGACAATTCAGCCAAAATAAGAAAGCCAGATTTGATCAGACAGGGACTTAATAACATGGCCGTTTGGCATCTTATCTGGGTTATGACACAAGTTTATAGCTATCCTTCTTATATTGAGATCAAATAAACTTTGCCGTTGCAAATTCAAGGGCAATGTAAGAAGCTGTGACACAGGTTAGAAGTTGCTGGCGATAGTCGCAATCTCTTTGAACGGTTGGCTGGACAAGCTTGTCCAGTAGAGGTTACGAAAATGGGGCTCGGAAAAGTATGTGATGACTATTTATTTCAGTATAGCTTTTGATGGGTGAAGTACTTTACTTACCCATCCAACTTTCCAACTGCACTGACTAGTCTCATTGTGCGACATCGCATTTATTTTCCACTAATTTTTCCTTTGTACATTAATACTTATGAACACATCTCATCCTAATTCACGTACTCCGACAGATTCTCGCCAGCATATCAATGGGCTTACCAGATTGGGATAGGGTGACAGTCATTTCACGTAGCTTCTAGTGTGTCCTACTTATTATACTCTGCTTCTTCGTCCCCTCATCTATATCTACATTATGGCAAAATCCGTTTGACCTCCACATACGGAGATTTGGACTCAACCGGCGTCGAACTTCTTAAAAGGCCCTCAACTTCCGTGTCATTAGGCTTGAGTCTGCAGACTTCATTTGGTCACTAATAGCAAAGGGAATTTGCTTTAACAGACTTCGAATCAACGCCGTCTCATGCACCATATCTTTATAAAATCTAACAATGTGACCCCTTCTCTACTCAAAGCAATATCTCAATTTCCCAACTGGCTTTATCATCCTGTTCCTCGTCTATCAATTCTATGCCTATAGACTTGATGTAACTTACTAAATAATTATTTATACCTCTAGAATCTTTCCATCCTATACACTAAATTCTTTCATTTTATATCCTACCAATTGGTCGTAGATTAGGCTCGATGTATCATGTCTCGGGCTTATATCACAGCAAGCTTTCAAAGTGAGCTTACTTTTGTTTTGAGTGTATTGGCTTTCAGCCCTTAAAACTAAATAATTCTACAACTATCATTCTTATAAATCTATTCCGTTGTCTTCGAACACTACCAGAATTCTATTTATTTTCTGGCCATGAATCTCACTTTTAAATTTATCTATTTTTATCTATTTGTGGTACAATAAATTTTTATATAATAAATATTTTTAAATTGAATTAATCATATTCAGTTGAAATACTCTTTCTTCTAATTTTTCATTGTCGCGTGTTTTTTTCTGAACGCATGTCATCTTGCATGCGAATGCTTGGGCTTATAGAGCTGCAGACTTTTCTTCGGTATTAATAGGACCATATATAAATAGCTTATTAGCAAAATATTTTTGGCCTATTTTGAGCTATACACTTGTGGGCGCTAATTTTCAGCGCTTTAAATTCAATAGGCTCAACATCGGTTTATGGCCGTATTCCATTTTTAGGTCCTGTTAAGATTTAAGCTCCGGTAAATCCTTAAATTTATCCATATGCTCCCTGACATGACCCTTGACGGTTACTTCAACCCTTTTAGATTCCTTGCTTATTTTGGCTGAAATGAG